AGCTGTTTTGCATGAGCGCTGCGATTTGGCTCTAGATCCCTCCCTTGAGCAAAGCGGCCCGTAGCAAGAGAAAGGTGAGCAGCTGACAACTGCTCTCCCTGTACAAGGACCTAGCAGGTTCTTCACAGGTTTTATAGGGTTTAGAGTTTAGGGGTTTAGGGTTTAGGGCAACGCGCTTACATTGTTTACATAGGGTTGATAAGCTTCCCAGTTACTCTAGGGAGGCAACGTTTTCACGACTATGGTCCCATCAACTTGTTAAACGACTTGTTCAAGATGATGACCGGAGTCTCATCTTCGGAACATTCCTTACGCAGCCCTCTGATTCAAAATCTGCGTTTGGAGTGCAGGAGCAAACTGCAAGCTGGAAGCGGATGTAGCATGACACAGAAGACATTAAAGAGAAACCGTCCCATGACCGCTTGTGTGATTCCAGCCGTTGCGCTCCGATTTTGGCCGCACAACACGCTTTGCCCTCGTCGGACTAGGAAATCTTGAAATGAACGATGAGTTCTGGGTAGGCCTGAGCTCCGTTGAAAATGACGAACTCCCGATGTACCTGTCGTCGCCATCGGTCGCTAGGAGTCCCTGGCTGGGCGATTACGGAGTGGAAGCGACCTTTTGACGGATCGCCTGGGTCCACCGGAGGTTCCACCTTCGTGTTCTTCAAAGGCCCGTCCGCATCCTTGGGGTGTCCAAGGATCACACGAGCAATGATGAAGAAACCTTCCCCTGACCCCTTCCCGGAGCCTTTCCATGTGGGCACCGATACCGCTCCTGAATACTGAAGAGCTTTGCAACTTTGATCTGTAAAATAAACCCCTTGTCCATAGAGTCCTCTTTCATGTGCAAGACGTTCGTCAAACCCGAAACCTGCGATTTGTTCTGTCTTGTCCAGCGTGGTGCCATGGATTACCAAAACCTCATTGATCTTCGCATCCAGGTGCGCCCAACTGCACACCTCAGGTGGCAGGGTACTGGTCACTCTCGGGAAGTTGTCACGGCCCTCCAACTCTTTCCGCACTTGCTCCTTCCGGAATTCGTAGTCCTTCCAGATGTTGGTGTTGCAAACCTGCTGGAGGCCGATAATACTGAAATGGTTCATGCGCAGGCACTCCCCATTGTGATCGGAAGGCCATGCCGCAAGCAGAGCTTTCTGGATGCTGGCGAAAACTGCATCGCGACGATTCAACTGGATGCAGATCTTTGCCTGCAGCTGGCGACTGACTCGCCAAGCTTCTTGCGCCATCATATGTGTGGCATGGTCCGCCTGAGAAGCTTCCAGCGTCTTCTTGTCCTGCCTCAGAATTCACACATCATCCAGGTTATCACAGTATTGAAGCCAAGTGGGCAAAGTGCGAAACTAACGCTTAAGCGAAAGAGCGCATTAGCGGTGCTTGCAAGATCTCGCAGAGCTGTGCCTTCCCACTGTCCTCTCTCAAGCAAAGACTTCCACCAGAAGTCTTGAAATTACATGAGCACCGACAGTTTGCCACCGAGGAGCTCCAGCATTGCAACTTTCGCCAGCAATTCTTCTTTCTCACGTAAGAGTTGCTCTACCTGAGCAGCCTTCTTTCTTGCTTGTGACCTGGCATCAACACGCCTGATCTTCCGCGTGCGGCCCGTCGACGTGTTCTGCTGCAGCATGCAATGGCTATCAATGAAGTAAGAGAAGCCCTTTCCCTGGACATAGAACGTATCGTGCAAATCAAGATTTTTATCCCATCCCTGTGCCCAGCGCTTCTCAAGCAGGTGATTCATGGTCTTCGTCATCGCCTGCCAGTCACCATCATCATCAGAATCAGAGTCATCGATTGGATTATGATCATCAGCCCGAAACTCCCATACAAGCTCAAACTCAGAGTCCTTGCAGTCATCTGTGGCTTGAAGTGTCTGGATTTCAAGAGTTTTGCCAAAAGCGTTTGGCTGACCAGACGGTGCAGATGGCCGCTTCACACCATCCTGGCCTGTGGAGTTGGAGGGCTTGCTGCCCTTGGTCATGTCAGACTTGCCACGGCTGTTGCCACAGCCGGTGCCATGTCGCACAGGCGGTTTGGATTGAGATTTCGTCACGGTCTCTTCATGCTTTCTCTTGCGAGCCAAGCCGACAATCACATCAGGGTGAGAGTCCCGCAGGTGTTTCTCCAGGGAGGTCAGACCATGGTTGAAGAATCTTCCGCAGGGCAGGCAATAGAAGGGGTTACCCATGTGCGATGGTTCAAACTGGATGCCTGCTTGAATCGCCCACTCCTCGCAAGATTTGCTGAGAGCATACCTGCCTCCCTTGACATGTTGAGCCCAGTCCTCCCAGCAGCTGCGGCAATAAATGTCACTCGCTTCAATTTTTGAAGATGGCACATTCCATACAGCTTGAAGCATTTATGTCCATCCTTTCGGCCAGCCTTTATATTGGCTGATAGAGTCCCATATCCAGAGCCACTTTCCATTGTCCCATACTGCAACCTCTCCAACACTGGCATCAGTGCCACATTTGAAGCATGTGGGCATGGCTCTGCAAACGGACACTACAAGACTTTCGATCAAAAGGGCCTTCCACGAAACAGCAGCAGCTTCCGAAATACAAGCCGCATGCTTCTTGCAAGTACAAGTAGCTGGTAGCTGCTCCTGAAGGCCCCTAACCCTGGCTTCTCAAACGAATCTGCAGCGTGCCCGTGGAGCCTGAATACCAAAGCTGTCTGAGAGGGCGAGTGGGTCCCATTCTCATGGTGGGGTAGAATTTCGTAATCAGGGCTTACTTAAAGGATCATGGGACTTGATCATAACTAGGGTTATGAATATGGTCACTATACTCACAAATACTGATAAGCCTAATTCAAGTATACTTATACATTTATAAACTTACTGCGTAAGTCTCCTGATCCTCCAAACAGGGTGTAGACGTAAAGGCGAAACGGCGAATTTCATAAAAAGGACCTCCCACAGACTGGTGGAATCTTTGCGCCCAGGGTTTTCTGAGGCTAAGTAGCTCCCCCCGCTGTAGTCTTGGCGCCGAAGCAGCGGTACTCCCCAAGACACCGACAAGAAAAAGACGAAATCTGAGTTTAACAGTAACTGGTGCAAGACAGTAAAACCAGATGCCTCTAGAAGATGAGTCAAAACAACAGTGAGAGAAGTCAAGACTCAACAGCCGCACAGTCTGCATAGGTTTGGGTTTTAAGACACAAACTGACATGATGCCAAGATCGCATTCGTTGGAAGGTCAAAGTTGCCATTCTACGACAACTATGCTGGATCTACCAGCTCACCAAACTGTGCTTCTCGGAATTGCGGCAAGGGCACATAGCTTCGAGCCGCGAGATGTTCATGGAAATGTCAGCGGGCGAAGGTGTCGGCAAGCAATAGGTGGAACCTGTCCGAGTTCATCAATGCTCGCCTTCGTTTTCTGGCACAATAACAATCTGAGGCCTCACCATCATCGCCACCACCACCATCATCATCATCATCATCATCAGCAGCATCATCATCATCATCATCATCGTCTAACAAGAGCGGCAGCACCAACAACAACAACAACAACAACAACAACAACAACAACAACAACAACAACAAAACAAACAACAACAACAACAACAA